GAACTCAGGACCTTCTTGCTGTGCGGCAACAGTGCTAACCACCGTGCCACCGTGCTGCCTAGTGGGGGAAATTCCTGTGTTAATTTATTAAAATGCTAGCAGTAATTAGCAGCGACCTGTGTGTGTGTGATGTGTCTATAGAATCCATGAATGTACCTTTGTACAGAGGGCATCTAGTATCAAAACTTAAAAATTGGGGTCCACACACAAGTGTTTGTCATCACAGTGCATCCATCTTTTCTGTACAGTCTCTGGCTTTTACTCACAGAGAAAGTCAGTGAGCATCTCAGGCTGGTCGTAGTGCACCACGGCCACACAGATGGTGTTGAGGCCCACCAGAAAGAGCACTATCCAGTAGAAAGCCTGCGTCTTCACTATCTTACGGATGAAGAAACGCAGCCGTCGCTCTTTCTTGCTGTAATTGGAGCCCTCCTTACCGCTCTTTATGCTGGAGCGTGCAAAACCTAAGAAGAAGAAGGAGAAAACGGGGACGAAGGGGATATAAGGGAGACATAAGAGTCTATATTTAAGATTTAACAGATTTATATCTCCAGTTCAGTTTCCTCTATCTTTACAATGATGACGATAGTGTAGAATTCAAAACACGACTCTGTTCTTGGTCCTTATTCGTCCTTTGCGTGTCATCCCTGTGTTTGTCTTACCTACTGCATCTCCAATGTTGTCCTCTCCTTCCTCAGGGTTCAGCAGCTCTGTCTTGTTGTTTTTGGTTTTGATGGTTGGCCTACGCCTTGAACCTAGAGAGAGAGAAACGAATTGTCTCGTCTTCAGTCTGTCTCTCAGATGTCACTCTCTCACCCTTCCCACAGAATCTGTCACTTGCTGCTGTACCGCGCTAAATCCCACATTTATTTGCACATTTAAATGAGCAGCTCTAAAAACCGCTAAAGCATTTAAGATAAAAAAAAAATTGTACTAGACTTTTATTTGCTGTACCTTTATTTATACTCTATGGGCAGTGCCTTTCTCATTGTCATACAAAAACATTAACACAGCAAATGAAGTTTAGTTACCATCAAAGTTCCCTGTAGTATCTTCCTCAGCCAGAATCACCTCCTCTGTAGAATTCAATGAAATGAGATTTTGGAGCATTATATCAGGATTTGGTTGTGTGTGTGTGTGTTTTTTATTCTCTAGTAGGAGCTTGAGCAGCATGTGTCAGCACTGGTGTGAATGCGAGTGCGCACTGACCTGCTTTACAGATCCACTCAAGGTATCCGTTGAGCTCCCTCTCAATCTGCTGCTGTCTCCTCAGCTTGAGGAACTCGCTCCTGTTCTCCACTCGCTCCCTCTCTTTGGCAAATTCACTGTGGGAACATTTGTCATTTATTTTTTTTACTATTCATGGAACGAAAGTGCAAAACATAAATTATTGTGGGAAAAAAAACAAAGCTCAATTGTTTTTGTAAGACAAATGGCAGGCTTTTACCCTGAGAGTACACCCAGCACCAGGTTGAGCATGAAGAAGGAGCCGATGATGATGAGGGGGACGTAGTACATCCAATTAAAGTAACTGCCACTTACATCGTTACTCTGCAAGAAACACATGGCCACACATCGGTCATGCACTGTTGGTTTAACTTTCCTTTGCTTTTCTTCTGCAGAGAATGTCAACTACGTTTGTTCTAATAAGCCTTTCAACACTTTAGTCACTCTAGCACACAACTGTCAGATTTGATTCCTTTGTTCATTTTTGTGGAATGCTTCGGAGAGATGAGATCAAGGTTAACATGTACCAGAATGATGAGAGAAAGTGCACCACATCATCTGTCAAACATGGTGGCGTGGGCATTTATGTAATGCCAATGCCAGTGTGACTGTTCATACAAGTAGCACATTGAATTTTGAAATATTTGAGGCTAAACTCTTTGCTTAAACTCAGTCAGATGCTGCAAAACACAGAGATGGATAATGACCACTTCTAAACCAACCCTAAAGCTTCTCAAGGCAAAGAAAGGGGTATTCTTCAGTAGTTAAATCACTGATCTGACCCCAATCTGATCTAATAGATTAGATGTAGATAGAACCTAACACAGCAGTCATTCCAAAAGTCAAGAGTGCTGTGGCCCATTTAAAACATCCCAATCTTAAATCTTCACTCTAATCAAACTACAAGATGAAGTGATGCACTTCCTTAAAATTTTTATTCAAGAAACCTAAACAACACAGGTTGTTGTCTATATATTGCTAATGCAACCCAGTCTTATGCAAAGTGTTATTACCAAAACTTTGATGCAAGAACAGTAAATGCAGGTCAAAGTAATATCTCAAACTAACCCCCTCCTATTACCAGCTATAATTCACTTTTCATATAAATGAATAAATTCATACAGAAAAATTGTACCTGAACTACCTTCAATGCTCAACACCGCAGTTTGGGCATCACTGCAACAATGTATGCTTTTCAGTTACTAAAATCAAAACTGAAGGCAGCGAGAGCCACAAACAAGCAGCAATTGAAAGTAAAGTGGAAACGATTGTCCTCTGAGTATTATAAACTATACTAATATTTTAAAAATGTTTGCTTGTCCCATTACCTTTGAACCTCTGAAAACAGAGGACTGTATAGAAAATGTCTTTATACCTAAAGAGTACATTTTATTTTCATTCTTTTTTCTAAAATGAAAGCCAACACTTTACTCACATGCTGATTGTTTAATTTTAAATCCACTGTGGGTGGTGTACGGAGGCAAAACTAAGAAACATTTAGAAAGTATGTCCAAAGGTTTTTGAGTCTCCCTGTAATCCTCAGACACTGTGTGACTTACTTCTTTCACTCAACTCACAATAACATGAACCCGGCTGCTGGAGGATATTGTATTTCTTTTTGATAAACTATGAGCTAATAAGCTATGATTATAATCCACTGTTGGAGGGCTGCATCTATGCACTGGATTTTGTACTGCTGCTACAATGCTCAGTCCATCCTCTATTAAATTTTCATTGGTTTCCTCCCAACTGCTCGTGTGAGAGTGGAAGTCAGCCTCCATCCATCAGAAAAGATGTTAAATATAGAGCAAGACGGACCAGAATAGTGAGCGGAGTAGAAGAAAAAGAGAGCAGCTCCAAAAGCAGGAAAAGGACAGATGATGGATAAAGGAAGTCAAAGAGATAATGACAGAGTATACGGGATATGTCTTTTGGGCAAATAAATGGCATTTTGAATCAGATCTTTAAATACTTTATGCTTCGTTTGGATAATTGAAATTCAGCTCAACTCTAACCTCCAACCAATGTGGCAAGTCCAGTGTGCCTAAATACAAAAAAGAGTAAAAATCACTTTACTGCTTTCACCAAATTTAAACCTCAAACTGCAGTTCCTTGAATGACCAGAGGCTTAAAAGTGAGTCAGCCTCTACCGGCTTCTATGTTAATACATTGGAGCTGTTTTAATGCATTTATCTGACAAATAACATGGTTTAGTCAATGGTCACGTTTCAGCAAATTTTCATTATGCCTAGAGGATTTTATTTATGGTATCACGAATTAGTAAATATTGGTGTTGGTGCAATGCACACACCAGTGGGTACAGGTAACTGCTTTCCACAGTGAAAGCATGATGGTTCTCCCCAATCGCCTGATGTTCAGTTAAAAGAAAAAGGGTCTCGGGTGGCTAGTCAGACATACGTGGTACAGCATGTTTGTCCATCCCTCCATGGTGATGCACTGGAAGACGGTGAGCACGGCGAACAGAATGTTGTCGAATTGGGTGATCCCGTAGTTGGGTCCAATCCACCCTTCCCCACAGTGCGTGCCATTGGAGCACAGCCGGGATGGCGATGCAGTACCACACGGCCTGTCATCTGCAGTCTCATCTGATCATAGAGAGAAAGATACAGCTTCACTATAAAATAACTAAATAACCCCCATTTTGGGTGTCAGAAAGAAAAAAAATGCAGTGACTGGCTGTGTTCATCTGTTCAAGAGGCTAACAAATTCTGACAAAGTAACACGATTTTTTCAGTGAGTTACACACATCATGTATTTTGAGTCTATGAACCCGGTCCTGTCCTATTCAAGTATTAAAACAAGCCACAAGGATAGCATAAAAATACCAGGACCCAAAAAACCAAAGCCTCCATCATTCATTTTATTATTTATTTGTTATTTTCCTAATGAACAGAAGCCCTATGTACACCTGAAATGGGATGGGGCCACCACCCTTTCTGTTGGAACAAGTCACAAAGGCTCACCACACATTGGTTTTTTACCACTTTATACTTACTTGTAACATCATCATAGCAAGTCTTGTGGAACTGTCCCATGTAAAACTCCAGGCCGATGATTGCAAACATGAGGATGGCCACAAATAAGAGGAGACCAATCTGCAGCAGGGGGATCATAGCCTTCATAATGGACTTGAGCACCACCTGCAGGCCTGGAGGATTCAGTGCAAGACACGCAAATAAATAATAGACATGGAATAGCTTGGGTGCTTTTTAGAACAAATCAAAAATAAAGTAGACAGTGTGATACTAAGTGATAAATGTAAGGTCGATGTTGTTAAATGTCAGTCAGTAAATTAAGAGCAGTGAGGTTAGCTTGTCTAGTAGCTCCTCGATTGGCAACCACGTTCTAATGACAAAGAATATATAGAATATCAAAAAACATTGCAACTTGCAGTAAAATTTAGATTTGTTCAGATTTTATTCATTGGACTTGAATGTGACATGGTTGGTATGGAAGGATCTGAAATTAGCATAGAAGCAAAAACACTTACTTGGAATTCCAGACACCAGTTTTAAGGGTCGCAGCACCCTGACGGCTCGCAGTGTCCTCAGGTCAAACGTAGACCCCACTGACGACAAAATACTACAGAGAAAGAAACAAAATACATGAGATCGTCTCTGAAAGCAGTCAACACTATCATTTACACTCTCACCACTTTATTAGGTACACCTAGCTTAAACCAGTTCTGCTCAAGGCAGCTTCAATGAATCCTCTCTTTGTGCAGGTCTCAAAACCGATTTTGCATTCTGAATATTCACAGAGGTGTTGATTCAGCTTTGTAGTGAAATTTAAAGATGCAGTTACGATGTGTTGTTGTGCTCTGTTGTGCTATACTGACAAGGTACTTCAACTATTTTACCCATCAATGCTAGGCTAAGGGCTAAATAACAGAAAACGTCTCAGTTGAAAGCAAAAATAACAATCAGAAAACCTTAAACCAATATCTATGTGTGTGATGTGTTACTTCAGTAACAATATGTTTGCTGTTGGAAACTGCTGACACATTCTGTATCTGTTCTGACTGCTCTGTGTCTTTAATGTGTAGGTGTGTGTGTGTGAGAGAGAGAGAGCTCTGGCACAAAGTCAGCTGGAGAAGGAGCATGGAATTTTCCAACCTGTCTTGAACGTAGGCGGAAGGCAGGGTAGGTCCTATAGGAGGGGGAGGGAGGAAGTGTGGGGGCGTAGACAGGGGATGTACTGAGGAAGAGGAGTGAGATAGAGGGAAGGAGCGCACTGCATCGGCAGACATCTGATGCTTAAAAGTTCCACTTTCTTCTTTAAAGCTCAGTTAGTTCAAACAAGGATACTTTGAAATGATTTGCTTACTGTAACTGTCCACACATTAGCTACCAATGACAAGAAAGAGAAGCCCAGCTGTCACACAGCCTCAGCATCATTCTCATTAACTAGCTGGCATTTTTGTGCATTTGTATGACTATCCTTTGACCACTGAAAAAACCTCATAATTTATATCTGGACTCATTTATTAGCTGCTTTCTCATAAATCAGCTTTTACATGGCCCGTAGTTGTAAGCAAGCTTTCCTATAGCACCATAATACATGACACTGTGGACCGGATTTGCTAACACAAACTGTGGTTGGTGGGTTTGGTGGTTCTGACCCTCTTGTATTTGTCACAAACTGATTCACTAATGTTTGCGTTATTTCATATGTGGGCCATGATTTCACAGCCTATGCAAAGACATTCAGAATGAAATCACAGAAGAAAAGAGAGAACAGGGGGATCATGATGATGAAATCGGACCTTATCCTGAAAATAATCAGGCCATACATGAACATGAGCACGTCTGAACCATGCATATACGTTAATAACTTTACATTTTTAAAGATTACATTTAAAGGAAACCGTTATAATTTCAGGACCATGGACAGCTCATACGGTTTTCACTGTGATCTCACGAGCTGTGCATACATGGCTGTTTGTAGTGGTTGACCTACACAAATTCAAAACGTGAGATATAGATCACAGATACAAAAAAACCTGCATATTTTTTTTAATTTAATTTACTTAATTTTTTTCCTAAACAAATCCACCATAGTAAAGTTGTGGTGGCACTGTTAACACAACCAGTCTGAGAGTATAGAAATGAACCTTTGTCAGTCAGACATTTACGGTTTGTTCTGAAGATGGACGAGATGTAAGTGGTCTTAATACAAGAACAGAGCGTGATGTCAAAATACTGTAGCACAGTTCACAGTCCTACTTTGGGCACCTGTCAGTTACTGAACCCTGTTTCTATTTTTCTGACTCTGTCTGCCACACTGCCTACGTTTAGCATACACATTTATATGGTTTTCTGATTACAATTAACGAGCAGCGCCTGTCCTGTTAGTAAATGACTTGCAGCTGAATATCATCTCTCAGTTTGCCTAATTGTGCTTAACTGCACGACTCTTGGAAGACTATGCATGCCATGTTGAAATGAACAGATTGTGCCTATCATTAGAACAGCACAACTTTTGCAAATCACACGCAAACCTAACCCCACCTATCAGCACTATGTGGAAATGGAGGTGCTCACACGCTATTTTGTTCCATCTTTATGTGCCGTATAAATGTATGCCCTAAATTAGAAAAAAAGCAATATTGTATTTTTTTAACCATGTGTGAGAAAGGCATGAGATTTAACAATAGGAGTAGCATTTAGCAGTCAGTCGTACCACCCTTTCTAAGAAACAGGAAGTGGACTGAAACAATGACAAAAGGGCTGCACAAATCAAATCTAAAACTTGCTAAATGTTGGCATCTGCCACCCTGCCATCCATCCATCCATTGCTTTTCCTGTTCCAGCCACTACCTTCTTAATCTCACTCCCTCCTCCACTTCTCCACAGGTTGGTTGCTAATTCCAGTAAGAGGTCATTTATTAACAGACACAGGGACAGCAGCCAATCCCCTCATTCTCTCAATGGCTTTTTAACTGCCACAGCTAAAGGCAATGCTGCAGATTTGAAAATACCTGACCTCAGCAAAATAAGCAAACGGCTTCAGTCTTCAATCACCGCGTTCATGAGAGCACTCAGAACATGAAGCAAGTGAAACAGCATGACGTTTACCAGTGGCTTGAGCTGATGTTTAACTACAGGTGATCAGAACAATTGTTTTAGGAATGTGCACACACTGCATGGCTGCTGCTAGTGGCAGTTTAATAAGTTAACATCTACTTTTAAAGCATACTTAAACATTATCACGTTTCATGGACAAAACAGATTTTGTCAATAATAAATGAACAAATGTTCTCGATGAGAACATCACGACGAGGTTCTAGTGAAAACAAACAGCTCAGAGCAGCTTGTTTAAGGGAGTCTACACTGAGATAGTTAGGTAGTTTAATAGTAACCTAAATGAATTTAAACCAGATCATTATAATCAGTGTAAACTGAACTTCCGTTTGCCCTTTTTTCTGCCTTGCTTAATTCATTTTTCTCATACACTTTCCCACAGCATGATATTATATAACACTGTAAACCTGACATACACCACATCCACTGAATAGGTTTGTTGTTCATGATTTAATCTATTGTGGATGACTTTCTGTTGGTTTTATGATCATATCGTTTTCTTTTTTGGCCTGCACAAATTACTGCTTACTCACTTGGAGCATTAAAGCTTAGGGGACATTTTTCTGGGCAGTTGGGTTTATGCCTGGATAAACAAATGGATGAGGTAAGAGAACAAAGGGTCTGTTTTGATATCATTAATCTGACTTTTCTGCTGTTCCGTCTCACTGTGTCTGTCATTTATTGCCTTGCCTTTCGCCCTCTGTTTATTTTTGTCCCACTTTTTTTCTCCTGTGACAATCAATTTAAGGTGAATCTAGAGCTCCAAAATTCATTCATGTGAGACGGCATCTACCGCTTTTGAAGACAATTCTAACACTGAGGATGCAGTCGCCACTGTCAAAGGATGAACCTGCCCACAGTGTATTGATGTGGCCAGTAGAGGGAGCAGAGAGTATGCTGCTGGTGGTGATAGATGGATGAAGTGGAAAGCGAAGTGCATGGAAGATTGCGAGAAGACACAGAGGAACAGCTATGGGTGACAAATCCCTAAGAGTTAAGTTGAAGGAGAGGAGGCAAACGTGAGGAGCAGAAGGCTGCGTAATCATGTTATACATGACCATTATGATCTTTTTAATTAGTATCACAACTTTTGCTTAAATCTTTCATGAAAAAAGGCACCAGTTAAACAAAGCTTTGATGCCACAATATTAATTTACGATTGAAAATCTGAATATTTTAATAGTCAAGACAGTTATTAAAATCTTTAGTAGGTGAATGCAAAGATAGGAATAAACCAAAAAAATTTTGAAGAAAAAGTTAAAACCAATACTCAAAATAATAAAAGAATAGCACCTGAATGGACCACCAACAGTAGGGTCCATTGTATATACCTAAACTAGGCTGGCGTCTTTGACGTTAGATTTATTCTTTAGTCAAGATTGGGATTAGAAAGTGATTTAACTAGCTCCTCAGTGAAGCCTGTGGCACGTTGGCATTTTGGTATTGTTTGCTAATGCTAACTGACATATTTCTGTCTCTGAATTTGTTTAAATGCTAATAACCATACACAATTAGTATGTTTTCTCAGACATGGATTACACTTAGTAGCATACAAAAAGAAAAAAAAAGCTCTCCACTAAAAAAAAGAAAAAGAAAAAAAGGTCATGGCCCTTAATTAGGCTTAAAGAAACAAGCTCTATATCTCTATTGCCCTAAAATCCAAATTAATTCAAATAAACTGGGAATATAGGCTACAAACACAGGGTATTACAAGGGAGATTTATCTTAAACTAGACGCTCCCTAATGAAATACAGACTGGGAAGAGGGAGACGAGGTATCCCTTAAGAGAGAGTAAGTGTGAGATAGAGTGAGCGGATTGAAAAAGAGTGATAGTCCTGTGCGTCAAAAGTGTGAGATTCAGCAGTAGAGACAAGCAGAGAGTCAATGAACCCCCAAAGAGAGAGCTGAAGAGACTCCAGAGAGAAAGACAGAGTGTTTCAGCTGCAGAGGGAGGAGGTGTTTGGACAGTGATGACAGAGGATCTCACTGCTGGGAAACACCTAGCTATCAACCTGCAAAGATGCACACACGCACACACACATGCATACACATACACGCACACACATATACAATTACATATGCTAACAGTGTGTTAGCTTTACCTAAGTTCACCTGAACTCTATTGTCTTGTACAATATATGATAGAAATGATAGGACGCAAAAAAACACAAGACATCTGTGTAACAGATGCAAATGAATGAAGTGTTAAACAATGGCCTAGGTCCAAACATTAGTCAGATCTTTGGACAGGTTTAACTGTAATCAGCCTAATCACTATCTCCTAGCCTTCACCTTATTTAACTCAAATCGCTGAATTAGACCTCTCATTCATGTTTTTGTTGTTAATGTCGGCTGTGTATTGTTATTTCTATCAAGTCTGTGCTTTAGTTTAATAATTAAAAAATCATTTAAAAGTATTTTAGTAATCATTTACGTAGCACTGAATCTATGCATTGCACCTACAGAATCTAAAGATGCGCCTAACCAAGCTCTACGGT